CGACCATTATGATGTCCAGAAAATGGATCACGATCTAGATAAACTTTTGATTTTTTTTAAATTCGTTATGAATTGATTTTCCCCGAAAGAAAACAAAAAAATATTACCATTATTCGAATAGACCAATTGAATCAAACATAAACAGATAAAAATATTGATCATTATTGATTTTCGTAACATTATTTATCATCGGTCAGAAGATAATCGAATTATGGTCAATCAGAAGATAATTTGCTTGAAGATTGTCATTGATTTTTTTGTTTCGATCATTTCAAGTTCGACTTTTATTTTATAGGTGGAAATTGTATTGATTTTTCAAGCAACAAAAAAAAAATCTGTTTTTTGAAACAACAGTTGTCTGACATGAACATCTTTCATTTTTGTTTGTTTGGTTATCTTTGACAACCAAACAATTTTCAAATCAAATTCTGACAATTTTTTTTTCATCTCGAAATCAAAAATCTATTCATTTTACAACTTTGATTGACTGATTTTTTGCCTGGCCAAAAATCTGTTATCCATGATTTTTTTTTTGATAAAACATTTTCAATCTGAAACATTCTGGAACAATTTTCATAGGCAGGCAGAAAAAAACAAACAACCAGAAACGAGAAAATTCTATTTTTTCGAGATTTTACTGAAATTTAGAATTTTCTCGAAAACACAAATCGAACACACACAGTGAGAAAAATGCAAGACGAATGCAATCGAAACATACATGCGCAGTAAACTGCCATAAACAAAATAGTCATAGTGGCATTAATCAAAGCCAAATGAATGGCTATGATTTTTTCGGGAATTTTCTACAAATTTCTTGAAAATGTCGATTTTTTATATATAAAATGCGAATCGCTAGATTTTTACGGTTATTATTCTGAATTGTAAAAGTGTTTGAACTTTTTTTCACTGTGCAAATTCTACTGCGAATTTTTTTTCAATTTTGTGTATTTTACTTCGTGTGTTTATCGTCATTTACTCAACAACAACAACAACAACATCGTTCGAAAATGCCGGAAGAAAATCAACAACAACAACAAGAAATTGAAAC